CCCCAAAACCCCAAAACCCCAAAACCCCTGGCAAATATTTATAAGCTGATATTAGCAATAAGATTATAAAATAAATACAATATGTCAGACCAATAGACAATTCCATTTCAAATCTTCTGAAGGTCCTCGAAATGCAAGTTTGGGTTAGAGTTGACCCCACCAATCGCTAGCGTTGGTACTGAATAGTATACCCTAAAGAAGGACTATATGAAGTCTCTTAGGTCCTTTGTAGTTACAAAGACCACAAATGTGACCAAGATTTTACTAAACATACACCTTAACTGCATAAAGCAATGAAAGTTGTTGACGGCTGTTGTCAGGAACTTTCTATATGGCTTACTTTTCTTTACTATAACTTTCCTCCTTTAAATTACTCATTAGTTGCTTTGGAAGAATGAATGGCAACATCGTCACTAATGATGGCAACCTGAAGCATTAGCTTACATTTTGAAACTATCTCACATGCATATTTGGTAAACATAAACCTTCATCTGTGCATGAAATTGACTGTGCTTCTTAGTATTATATAGACATGCATTGACAGTTTGGAACACTCCTTTTGGATGTTAAATTTATAGATTTGCTACACTGCACTTTTATGTGTTAATGCCACTTTTATTATACCACAAATACATTAATGAGTCTAAATGTCTGAACTTCTCTCCAAATGAATTATAGTGTAAATAACGCTATTTTTTTTGAGGATTAACCAAAGTACTTTGGATTAGGGCTGCACTCAAGTTTTATAGCACTTATTTTATTCATTAATTTCTCTACAGTTTCACCAGAGAAATAGACTTACTTTGATTTTTTTCAAAGAGAGAGCTTTATTTGGCCGAGTACTAGTTCTACTGTGTAAATGAGGTGTGCAATCTGAGGAAAATTACCATCCGAGCTAAAGATTACATCAATTCCGATATGATCTTGATCTTCTGAATATTACAGATTTTAAGTAATTCACAAATGTGCAAAGAAAAGCAAAAATTGTATTACAGAAGATTCAGCTCATATCTTATGATAAGCTGGTCTTTCGAAAAGAGAGGAAGAGCAGCACTCTAACTCAAGAAGTCTGCTATATTGAAGAAAGAGAGAAAGCAACCCACTTCTCATCCTACAAATACTAAAGTGTATAAATCTGGTAAGGTATCTCACTCTAAAGCTCATTCTGCTTTCTTTCAGTATGCTAGGCCTGACGAAAAATGGCTGGAAGCTACAAGAAGAAGCAAACATAAAGCACAGAGGAAGCTTTGAATAATTTGGTAATTTAGTTCTAAAAGCATTCGGGATTTTCAAAGCTAGAATAAATTCTTTATATCAAATAAATGACTGTAGTATGGAGAGTATCAAAATACCATTGCTTAAAATAGAAGTAGAGGAAGAAAACAAACACTGGGTTACCTCTTTAGGCTGTAATGTAGACAGGCGTACTATTTTTGAGGATAGTAGAATGCTTCTCTAGCTTGATATTTTGTCAGAGCACCAGTGTAGGTTAGTATTCTCAACACACCAAAAGCCACCTTGTTTGATTCAGTACTTTGTTGTCCGAGGGCAATTAGTCAAACTGGGTACTTAGTGCTGTATAGCGTATTCGCTGTAGAATGATTCGGATATTACAAGGAGTTCAGGAACTTGCCAAAAATAAATATGTAAAACCAGGCAATGTTCCTCCTCACTAAATGCTCTAACATTGATATTCAATGTTTAGCATCTATAAAGGGGTTTTGGGGTTTTGGGGTTTTGGGGG